TAATACCTCATTGTTTAGAAAACAATACAGACATACTTTCTAGGACTACACTGACAAGAAGATACTAGTATTATGTGTCAGTGAAATGAACAGTGATTTGCAATGTAAGGCTATTTTCACCTCTAGCCCCGATATTTACTGATACAAAAGTATAAATTATAAGGTTTAATGTGAAATTCCTACACATTTTTAATACTTATTTTTAACTATATGCATATGAATAGTTTTCCATATTTAAGTACATATGCACAGTTCAGTTCAATAATGAAACTCTACGTATTTCCAGAGCAAATAATAAACTGAAAACAAACACTGTAATTAAACATTAATATCAAGAAAAAATAGAATTTTGAAAATGTAACACTAATTATTCGAACTTATGTTTCAGAAGATATTTTAAAAATAGATGTCGTGCATGTTTCGATATTCAATGAAATACAGCTCGGGCACTTTAATTGTTGTTATTGTCCGTGTATGCGTATTCAAATGTTTGTATTTATATATGTTAACACCCGTTTCAAGGTTCTGTATAACCCACGTGTAATGTCGCGTCACGCATGGTTCATTCACAAATCTGAAGCTACCGCCATAGACCCTCAAAGTGTTGATGTTCCAGTGACAAATAGACATGTGTAGAAAAATACCGGGTGCAAATATTTGAAACCGTGCTTAAACAAGACATAAAATTGTGAACAAATACCACGAATCAATTCCAATCTGTCCCCGTTAGAAAGTATCAAATGATGAGCCCCTAGGACTCATGGTTCTATTGTCGTGCAGCCCCCGGTCCAGCTCGGAGACCCTCGGGCAGACAGATACGTCCTCAGCGCTTCCACCTTTCAAACTTCACCATTTCATCTTAATTGTGTCATTTAACTGTTCAAGTTGTGACACAGTCGCTTTTAATAATAAATGAAGGCTATCGCGGCTTGGTGTATTCTTTTGTCATCTCGGGGACATCACGGCGGAGGGCGAGCTAATTAAAGGGGCAGTATCAATGAACGTCTCCATTGGGTTGTGCCTGTGTGATATCCTAATAGGCGACAAGAGAAGCTACCGCCCTGATTAACTTGTCATTAACATTGAGTGTTGGAAGGAGGCGGGATGAGAGGATATCAGTGCTAAATCAGCTGCTCGTGTTGTTTTAATACGATCGTCTCGCCATCGACATGAACGTCTTACAGCGTCTTCGCTGGCTCATACTGTGGACATTAAATAAATATTTATGGTAAATATTCCGTTTTGAAATGAGTCGTTATCGCATTGTTATGGTACAGCGACAAATAGTGGCGCTGATTCCAGTTGGTAGTAATTCCCTGGCTTACACTTCGGAAAGAAACAAGCGAGAAACATGAAGAAAATAACGTCTACATAGAAAACCGATTTCCATGTAAACAATTTTACCTTACGAGGTGCTCCTTTGTAGCATTTGTCCGTGCTAAATATGTCGTGGTTCCTCGATGGAGAATGGTTGCATAGCACCGCAAGACGCTGTATATCCGAGCATTGCTATTGTGTTCCAGAAGTACATTATATTTATTTCGCTCGTTGATCTTCGTGTTCAATGCGACAGAGATGCAAATACTAAAATTCTTAAAATCTTTACGATTATAATAAGACATGCGTATATAATCAGACACCATGCCCGTCAAGATCAAGCTGGTGGAAGCAACTGGCTCACAGCAATACAGCAATAATTAATTGGATATACAAAATTACCTTTATCTACCAAATTCTATCTCGTATCCCTTACTTAAATTTAGAACTAAATATCATAAACTACCAATTGAAAAAGGTCGCTGGACCAATACACCAAAAGAAAATAGAACCAGCAACCTTTGTAATTCATCAGCCATAGCAGACGAATTTCATTACATTTTTCGATGTACATCACTTGAAAGTCATAGAAAAAATCTTATACTAATTAAATATACCAAAAATGCCAGCCTCCATTCTTTCAAATTACTCTTCATCCAGTAAAAGAAAGGAACTGAAATCCCTTGCAACATTTATAAATATTATTGCAACACGAGTGTCATAACCTCTCACTATCATGTTTGTTGTACCCATTATATGTACTGCCATCTTGCACATCATACTGTATTATTATACCTTGTAATTCACTCTTATACCACCTTTGGTGGTCCATTGGAGAATAAAGAATCTGAATCTGAATCTGAATCATAGATGTTCGGTGAAAACAACTGTATATTGTATGTAAATATCAGGTAGATGGCAGGGAAGAAAAGAATCGGACATGGAAATTAATAATTAATATTCACTCTACCACAGAAAATGTTTTTCGGACGAAAGTATAATGTGTGTGAACGGGTCTGTCAGAATGCATGTTTTCTTAACATTTTGCAAATAAATTGTTGGTTTGATTTCATCTCGAACGAAATGTTCCGTCAGAAGCAATTATTTTACTCAAAATATTTCACTATCCTTTCATTCACAACTTCATGTCATATGATGCAAGGGACTAATACAATGCACTGATATTAAATTATATTCTGTAGTTGACAAGTGAACCCCTTTTACCTAAACTGTATTACGTAACATGATTAATATTGAAGATATGTTTAGGCAAATGGGTTAAAAGTCAACAAATAGTTTAGATGACCGAGAATATATCGAACATACCGTTGTGTTCATTGTGAATCTTAAGTGACGGTTAGGTCCATAGTGAACATGTGTTTGTGTGAAGGATTTGGTGTCGGTCAAAAACCAATAATGGAAACCGGGGGAGAGTTAAACGCAAGACTATGCTACACAGACTACTGTTCAAAATAGGGTTAAACAGGGTTAAAGTTGTATGTTGCATGCATAGAGGCGGACATGCAGCTGGTCTAACAATCCAGTGATCACCAGCATGAGCATCGATCTACGCAAAAGGAATACGATGGGCTCGTCAGCCAAACCCGTTTGCCACATGGGTTCTATTTGCGAAGCCCATTTTTGGGTTTCATTATGCCTGTACCACATTGATCTTTACGAAGCATATGATTTAATAAATAACACCTTCTTGTTTATTGCATAGACTTGTTATCCATAAAGTCGTATGCCTTCTTGTTTACCCACCATCTTGTAGAATGCCGGTCAAACGATCCCACTGATTGTACGTTATAATTGCTAACGATGCCATTTTGTGTGACCAAAAGACAAGATATAAGATAAGGAAACACTTAAGTCTCCACAAAATGCAGTATTCGCCAAGACAAGTACCATTTAAAACGTGATAGTGAAGATACAACTCTGCAGAAATTCTGCGCAATATTATTTTTCAAGGACCAGAATTGTTCGACAATATCTAACGGCATGTATTCTTGCAGAGTACTTTTCCAAAACCCTAAATTGCTCTTAAGGACTATCCATTAGGAAAACGCTGGCTGTTGGATCCGCGGTAAGGATGTCTGGTGAAACACCGTAAGTGGCTTGTATTGCCTAAATTGTACATGTCTGTAAGAAGCATAAACAAATATGTTCACCCACACGTGGGCATGTACACGAGGATTATCTGAATTAGTTTGTTCAGCCACGCGCGTGGTTCTATATATGGGGTCAGGACACGTACAAGAGTCGCCTGTAGAGTGAGTGAGCTTAGTTTTACGCCGGATTCATTAATACTCGAGCTATATAGCGGTGGTCTATAAATAATCGAGTATGGGTCAGACAATTCAGTGATCAACAGCATGAGCATCGATCTGCGCAATTGGGATACGGTGGCATGTGTCAACCAAGTCAGCGAGCCTGACCACCTGATCCCGTTAGTCGCCTTTTACGACAAGCATGGGTTACTGAAGGCCAATTCCAACCCGGATCTTCACGGGTAGTCAGTCTGTAGAGGTTACATGTGGGCCCTGTAAGGCACTGGACAATAGTAGATTGTTTATGTTGCCACCTGTTTGTGAGATTACGTATTACAATAGAGGTCACACGTGTAGTTATATACTCTTCAAATGTAGGGGTCGGGACATAAATGTTAATCGCAAGTATTAGAACAAAGGTATGTGTTGACAAAAAATCCCACGCAAGAGTGTTTATGTCTGTAAAACTTTAAACCAAATCGCATCCAATAGTTTGCACGTGATTCATACAGTAGCGTCACACACGTGCGAAGGGTCCTGATTTTGATACTTCAAAGAAAGGTCGAGTAATCTCCTTGGTCCATAATTGCTGTCAGTCTTGTTGAATCTGCTTATCACGCAGGTGTGATTTAGCTGATTTCCTTAATTGTTTGTGTATGAATGAGTGATATGGAGTCTGCAACGCGCGTACCCTCTAAGGGCTATTTGCACGCCGGGAACTGGAGAAAGGCAGCGTGCAGTGACCAATGTGTTTAATGTTTCACAGTCTGTGATTAGCGGACTACAGAGAATCCCAAAATAACCTAAAATGGTGACGACTGACCCCGTTCTTGTCCCACCTTCAGTTGCACAACATCGCCAGAATGACATGGCCAATGCTGAACCACGACTTTGGCCCCATTGGACACGCGTGGGACATGATAGTGATTTAAAATTTAGATTGCCGGTCACCCCGGCTAAATTTTGAGAGGTGTAGGGCAGATTCCATCAAATCGCCATTGAGAGACTTTCGCAGCATGCCTCGTAGTGTGAATGAATTTTTTCACAATTCGTGAGGTAATTCCCCATTACTAAATAAAAAAAACTGCAATTTTTGAAATTTCCTAATTTAACCAATTCTGCACGATCGTTTGGCGTCATTGCATCTACTGTCAGTTACATATTCCTGATTCGTTCACCTACATTGCATAGAGCGACGTTAGGGTGAAGGGTCTTACGTTTTATCAACATTATTACCGAAAAGAAAAATAGGAAAGGATCAGCAACAGTATGATGACACAGTACTCCCGTCAGCGTCCATAAAGCATAGAATTGAAGAACCAGAAAATACAGTGACACGATAACGTCCGTGCTTCTGTGTAGAAACGAAATGGGATTCTTGAGAAGTAAATTTGAAAACCCAACAATATCATATAATTCTTTAACGTTTTATTTCGTAAGCTTCGACAGCAATATACGAATGAAAATAAATTAGCAAAGTTTGCAAGGATTATTTACACTTCAAATACCTGGTAACTACACATTTAAAGTATTAGATAAATAATAGTAAACCAGTGTAGATACTTCATGTAAGTGTTTAAATAATGCGAATGCATTGGAGCTGTTTGAGAGGAATCAACAAACATGTTTCGTTCTAAGAAACAACGCTGCTCAATAAATACAAATTTAACACTAACAGCCCTTGTCGTAGAAAGCAAGCTATCGGGATCTGGGGGTGTCCATTCTGTAGGTCTCCGCAGGCGTTCCAGGCACAGTCACCGACCCTTACGTCGCCTGCTGGCGTGTTGACGTCAACGTCACTCTTAGTCCACGAACGTTTCAGTGCCAGTAGCGTTTTGTTCGAAGACAGTTGAACTACCGTACCTACCAGGTTCGCCCCGTCCAGAAATGTTGGCCGTTTGCACGGGATACCAGTCACAAGTTATCGCAATAAAGATGCCAACTTGAACCGACGATTTGAGTTTTTGGATATGTTCGTAGTGGATATTTTCATGATGCAGGCACATGACTGAAACCAGGGCGCATGGGAGTCACATGTAGTGGATATAGGCCTACTGAGGCACCCGGATGTTGAGCTGCGTAGGGTGAAAAGCTGGAACGCATCAACGGATACGGCAGCATTCGCGAGAAGCAAATCGGCGCACGTGCACACAGTCCGATTGAGTTACTGAGCGAACTCACGCTGCACAAGTCCTCAGAACTTTTCGATTTGCTCTCCGCCCGACTCGAGGTGCACTTTGCTGGTGTTGAATTGTCCCTCTCTCGCTTGCTTACTGTCGCCGTCTCGCTGCTTGTAGTCCGGGATTTGGACACAGGTGTGTGTTCTTCAGAATCGGATTCACAGTTTTCCAACCGTCTTTTCTTTTCGGGTGTTTCCTCGTCGTCAGATTCTTGTCGTTTGTCCTCAACTGAAGATAAGAAAAGAATACTGTCAACAAATATCGTTAATGGGGGCACCTGTTGCATCGGGTGACATGACATCTGACATTTACAGGCATTTTAAGCATCAGTTAACCGTAGTAGTATGTCGAAAATATGAAATGCGTTCAAAGTTCCGTTGAACACCACGGAGATCCATTACCACGTCAATTTATCTATTTTCTAAACAGGTAAATGTCAAACTAACATGAGAGTAATCACAAGTTTATAATGGTTAAGGGTACATTGAATGTGGTTTTCGTACCTTCGTCTGCTTTTCTTGTTTAATATTTGTACCTTATCTTCTGATTATTGCAAATCTGACCCTGAATTAAAGGCATAATTTCCTGATCAAATTCCACTAAACGTTATTTTGAATTTTTCTCATTTTGGTTCGCGTTAAATACTCAAAGTGATAAATAAACCTGCATAATTATCGCGGTGCAACATCACGTCTTCTGTCCAGTCTCACGAGATCTCACGCGAGCTTACATCCGGAGCGAGTGACGATAGCTTTGTGGCCATCTCTCGCCCCAACATTTATTTACAAAACCTCGCAATCACAAAAGCAATATGCTTCTCAGTTTGAATTATTTATAACCTTTACGATCAAATCATTTGGCTAAACATTTGGATCTTTTCACAGCCCTAATCTGCTCTGTGCTTGTGAGCTGTAGCACCTGCTGGTATGATTGCGGTGTCGTCTTCATCTCCCGGAGGCTCTTTTCAGCTCTCTAACTGACAACCACATTATTCTGACCTTATCCACCTCACGGCCCCAAGTTTTTATTCCTTTGTAATTACTAGTTGTCCGCCATATGCGATGCTTTATCCACAACTACAAGCTATCAACGTCGAGCTTCCTGTGAATTTTTAGGATCTTCGTCTTTTTGAAAGTCACAGTATCTATATTTTTTGAACGAGTGAATTTATATCTATTTTATCCGCAATCTTACGTTAAAATGTTTGAGTTGATATGATCTCTTCTCTAACATACTCTATGACATGCATGTTGACAATTTTATATGTTTTATTAAATTTATGTAAATATTTCATGCATTGAATTTGTTTAGTACTGGACAAATGATAAAATTAGAGACATGTTCAGTCTCTAAAGATAAGATGTAAGGGGTTGATATTGTGAAAAATTATTTTCTTTTATTTAGTAAACAGATGGCCATTACACACTGACAAAAATAGGGACCATGTGCATTAGTTTTCAGTGAAGTTCAATACACAAGTTATGAAAAATACTTCATAATCCCTAATTTTGTTTGATGTACGCGAAAAGTGTGCATGGCCTTCCCTACCTGTAGCGGCCATTTTGTAGTGCAATATGAATGTTATAAATGTTATCATGCATACTGCAAGTAAATGAAAACGATTATTGCTTGCAGTCTGAATATACCGAAATGTCGCGACGTAAATTCCATGTTTACCTTAGTAAGAGAGGCATTACGTTTTTTTTGTTAATTTGTTTCATATACAAAATAACTAACTGGAATTCACGTATATGGATACCTGTTAATGTTTATATTTTCGTCTAATGTTAATATCCTTAAATCACGGTTCTTGTAACAATTACAAAAAAGCAAAATAGCTTTGTCGACAGGAACTTTCTGTAAAATCGCACCCATCTGGTTCTTATATTCTGCTGTGTTCGTTTTTTTTTTCTCTCGTTAAATCTGAAACCTTAGTGAGATTTCGTCACAAACTGTCAAGAATTGATCACGACATCGGTGTCCCGACTTGGTGCTATGCATAACGAACCGTGATGGCTTCAGGTATTTTACATGGCACACGAAACATTTTTTTATTTGTTTTTCATTTACTGTAGAATCTGTGTGAATAATAAACGAAATTTCAATTTTGAAATTTACTTTTGGGTCATTTTCCCCTTATGGATTCATTATAAATTTCTTGAATTTATTTGACATGCCACAAACCCTTTAATTCAAGAAACGTATGAACAATCGATGTTGCTAATTAAGATTGCTACAGGTTCACTAATTAGTTGTTTTAATTCAATCACGAACCCAGGGTATTTCAATGAAACAAGCCATTCAGGTTCAACCTCTACAAATCATTTGTGACCGGTGAATACAAGGGGTGTTAGCCATTGAGGGGAATTCATTGTTGCACTGCTGAATATCACTATAAAGATTCCTTCATTAATTGGCTAATTAATACCAGATTTACCCAGCGCTGTTACTGCTTAACAGGGCGACATTAGGGATTCGTCAGAGCATGACACAAAGCTTTAAATATTCATAAGCAATTTGATAAAAATCAGGTAAAAATGCCCTATTGTTTTCTAGTCAATGAGAAAAGCGTTTTCAGGTGCGATATAGATTAATTTTCGGCGAAGGGGAGGGTAAACTTGAAAAAAGTCATGGTTTTACCATCTGCTTGTATCAATAACATCGTAAAGCCTTTTCGTTATTTCCAAAGAACGTTTGTTTATGTTCGTTCTGACAAAGTGAAGCGGGTGATAGGTCGAGTGTGAGACAAGGGTTGGATTTATGATGTTTAATCTTGCTATATTCAAGACGAACTGCCCGGTGCTACAATGTTAACACTGACGGGCAATTGTACAATGACAGCCAGCAAGTAGCCTTTCAAACTGTTTCTCGGTGTTCGCCAAGGGAACATTTACTGTTATGATTTATTCATATTTGGAAACAATTCCTTCCCGGCCTACACTAGTGTGGTGCAGGGCGGCTTTCTTTTTCCGTCTGTTTCTTTGATATATTTCTCATTTGTGGAGAACAACGTGTTTTTTGGGCGTCTTGTAAGATCTTTAGGATCCCGTGCATCCTAATTCGCCAATATGGTCAACAATCTGCTAACCCTAGCACGTTAGTCTAGAGAGAGGCTCCACCCGCTACTTTTCCCATATGCCGCGAGTTCTTCGCCAGGATTTCACTTAAATCAATGAGGCGTTTTATTTCAATTAAGGCGTATGCTTCGTGTCAAACTAATAAGTAAATTAGCCTTAAGTCTATTAATTTCTAATAATGTAATGAAATACTAGCTTGATGGATCGGGAACGTTTTGATTGATCACTTAGTTTAGTTGTAGAAATGAATTAAAGTTATCGCCCTTTCGTTTAAAGAGTCTTTTGTGCATAGCTTTATTCTGTTCAGCGCGCCTGTTCGCAGATTTACGTGGGTGCTATGTGCAAATACAACGAGCATGCTCTTCTGGGGTCACCCATAACACTGCTTCTTTATCGTACAATACACAGAGTTGACTTTTTTGTCTTTTCATAAAACAGAAAAAACGGACACTTTTGCCGGTGTCTGCCATAAGGTGCAGATTTCTTCGTTTAAAGGAGTGCTTGTTAAAATTAATAACGGCCTGCTACGAAAGCATTGATACTAATATTGTAACATTATAAGTAGCTTTAATGCAAATTTAATTATTATGTCTTAAGGTGTTCCTTGAGACCATTAGGAACTACCTAACAAAAGCTGTCTTTGGATATTTTGTATCATTTTTCAAAATATTTTTTAAACTAATTTAATTTATTTAAAAATGGTTTTGACATAATATTGTTTCTCTCGGATAGGACCTGACCTTATGCTGAACAGACGTTCGAAAGCAACAACCATTGTATCACATGGAGCAGGCCGGCAAAAACATGCTTCCAGAAAACGAATTGTTTTAGAAAAAATATATTACCCCATTGAAACAAAGTTCCTTGATTTATTATAAATTCAATATACTAGTCATGGTCTCCGGGTCTCTATTAATAAAAATATTTAGAACTAAATCACCCATGTTATTTATGTAATGAAAACAACGATCTTCCTGATGTTTCGTGCTTGTTCAGCGCATACATGCATTGGACTACTTAGATTGGAACTGAAAGGGTTCGTTATAAGCATGGTTCGTTATAAACATGGTTCGTTATACACAGCAAGTGTCTTGGACCCCCCGAGACGAGTTCGTTATATCCGTCAGTTGGTTGGTTATAATCGGGTAAATATTGTACCTACACTTTCATTGATAATCAATTGTTCTTGCCATATTCGGCGTAGAATAGGTCTTCAGCAACCCATGCTTGCCACAAAAGGCGACTATGCTTGTATTAAGAGGCGACTAACGGGATCGGGTGGTCAGGCTCGCTGACTTGGTTGACACATGTCATCGGTTCCCAATTGCACAGATCGATGCTCATGCTGTTGATCACTGGATTGTCTGGTCCAGACTCGATTATTTACAGACCGCCGCCATATAGCTGGAATATTGCTGAGTGCGGCGTAAAACTAAACTCACTCACTCTTGTCATATTTCTTTCTGACCTTTTTATTGGACATAATGTCCCTGTTAATAATGAAATTATTATTTGTTTCAGGTTTTGTTTTGTAAAGATGCTCCAAATTACTCTACTAACCTTTAACCCTGTCTTCGGCTTTCCTTTTGATCCCCAACGCTCTCTCAATGTCCCTTTCTTTCTCTCTCTCCTTCTCTTCGTCCCTCTCCACCAGCTTCCCAATCGCCTCACCCCCAAGGGGCTGGACCAGGCGAGGGTAGGAGAGCCCGGGTATGGGTAGTGGATACCACGCTCCGGGGTAGGACGGCATGGACACAAAGGGCATGGGGTTGGGGGAGCAGGCAGGGGAGAACCTGGTGGCCAGATCCATGGCAAAGGGGGATTGGTCGGGGGCACAGGCGTTGGCGTTACGCAGTATTCTGTTGATGGAGCTGACGCTAGGGATGGTGGTGTCATCACAGACTCGCTGCGCCAGCAACTGGTCGCGGATCTCCCAGGCGAAGATGGAAGGGTTCTGCTGCTTCAGTTCCAGGATCTTCCGCACCACCAGAGGCGTGGCCACTTGCTGTGGAGGGACAAGGGATATTAGTATACGTCACATGATGTTTTTTGTTTAGCCCAAAACTTAGCAATCATATAATACTATCCTCAGCCTGGATATAATATAGTCGGGGGGAAACAATCCACTGATAAACATCATGATCATCAGTCTACGCAAGTTGGAAATACTAGTAACGATTATTTAGCAATATTCCAGCAGCATCACGGAAATAGGCTTCACACATTGTACCCTCGTGGGGAACGAAACCGAATCTTCGGCGTGACACGCAAACGCCTTTATTCACGAGTCTGCCCACCGTCCTTCCTCATCAGTATTTGTTTGCTTAATTGTCGTTTAACTCCACACTCAGCAATAGTTGCCGTTTAACGTCGCATTCAGCAATATTCCAGGTACATGGCGGCGGTCAGTAAATAATCAGGTCTGGACCGGACAATCTCCCATTCACCCAATGTGGGAAGAAAATAGCTGGTCGATAACTTTTACAGCTTAGTAAAACACACGAGCAAGGGACAGGTGCCGACATACCAAGCAACATAATCGGTCGAATCTTGGATTCGAACCTATGGTCTTCGGACCACAGGGTGTTGGATACCTTTGCGCTAGCCTTGTACGATGTCTTAATTTGACTAATGGGAGAACCTTATAGGATCGACCATTACATATTTTAGATTTCGGAGGAAAACGGGTTTTTAAGACGACATATTTAAGCATTGTCGATGTTTTTGTTGTTTTTAAACAGAATAAATTATATGTTACTGGTAGAAATAGGACTATAGTTACCCGCACCTTCGGCTTGCTACCGCCAATAGACCCGGGCTTAATGGAACCCGTCTCGTAGTATCTTGTGAGGATCTTGCTGACACACCCGTGGGACACGAGGAGTTGTCGAGATATGTCACATGGCCTAACGCCCATCTGAGCAAGCTCCACGATCCGACGTCGTACATGGTCAGGAAGTGGACGGCCGTTCACGAAGACCCCTCCCAGTTGATTAACCCCTGTCTGGCCTGAGGAATAAAACATAACATTTAACTAAATGATGAACATTGTAGTTCATATTTTAAAAATTACATGTCCTGTGTCCGCCTTTTTCTCAATTTATGTTAAAATGAGACATCTGTAGATCTCTCGACACACAATTCCTACCCGACAGTTAGTGCCGTCCATCAGAGAGACAGATATTTCGTCTGGTAGTTGTCACTGATTACAGAACATTATTGATCTGCCTCCGGATTAACGATTGGGAACATTGAAAACATATTTGAATCAGATGTTTTGCGCGCCTTACCTACTAAAGAAGACATTTTCTGCGTACACCAGCACGGTTAACCATCGCCCATTGTAATAATATAAATATCTTTCCTGACCTTAAACGATATCTGTCGATTACGTATGACTACCTTGGTAAATGAAGCTGCAAATTGCCGTACATTCCACATAGGGAACAAGCTTTTGCAGCTTGGGACTTTCTATGGAATGATATTTTATAGAACTGTATTCAACAAACTCACAGCTTGAAACCGGGGATATTCAATGAACAACAGCGGAAGATGTATTAATGAAGCGAGAGATGTAAGACGAACGATGAGCGTCGTTTTACGCCCATAAACACGCGGTACTTTGTGGGTCTCCATCTAACCCAACCCGCCTGTCATTTGTCCGCGACACAATCATATGTCTTTTAATTTCTCAGACTTACACTTCGACGAGTTCGTTTTAATAACCATACCCGCCTTCTTGAGGATATACAATAACCGCGAGTGTTACTGCGGGTGTTGGTGTAATTGTAGGAAGCAGCCCAATTGAGAAATTTTCTGCATTTGATGGTTAAATGCCGTCTAGTATTATGGCCACTGTGGATGTGATTTTCACTCTGTGATCAAAGGTGTACGTGAACAACGCTGGGTTAACCCCTCTTACTTCGCGATGGCCAATTCAGCGGTACGCTGTTCCCCGGTACATTATCCTTGATGGCGTTCGTCGCTGCGCGGGGGTAATGAGGAATAGCATTGTTCTGTTTTGTTTTGTGTGTCTGTGTGAATTCTGTTGTTCAGTGCTGCATCGAATGGTACAATTGCTATATAAGAAGCTACCTACTCAAGTGACAGATGGACTGGGGAATTTCACATAGTTAAGTAATCGTTCAATGTGTAGCTGATAAAATCTCCTAATTTCCTCTGCAGTAAAAGCAACGCGCAGTTTTATGGTGGGAATAAAATCTAAATAGTTAGAGACATGTTATAGCACGTGTAGCTGTTTCAATATGTATACAGAACTAGAATACCTTAAATAATTGGCGAACGTGTCTTTATGTCGGATTTAACGCATCTCGGATTTATCAAAGAAACGACTTCGCACAGTGTACTCGTATAGGAAGTCTGACACGGATATTCAAAGTGAAGAGCGACCGCTTTAACAAAAACGATACACTGGCGCCTCGTCACGTGGCAATTGCGATGAGTGGGCGACTTAAACAAACATGAATACATGAAAATTATTTAACCTCAAAATCCCAACAGAACCATAAACTCCCAAGGGGCTATCCGTTTATACCATCAGAAAAGCGTTATGTATCAGTGTACATTGTGACTCAATGCACAATTTGAACATCAGCTTAATAAATGGTCAATATAGAATATACTACACAGCTTTTTATATGGGTATGTCAGATATACTTCAACAGAAATGTATGACGGTTTTTTTCTGTTAAATCACCCCTATACATATTTGAGTCTTTCTCACACACACATATTAGAACCATCTCTTTTAATCCATGGGTGCCGTTGTCGTAATCCTCGCGTACTTTAACTTAGGCTCAATAGGCTAACGCTAAGTTTGTGTTGTACAACGGCACCGAGAATATTGACAAGAAGTTAAGGAACCAAACTTCACCTGTATGGGGCATGGTTCCTGCCGACTCCACAGTTGTAGGCTTTACTTCTCTTCACCTGAAAACAAAGTAAATCCTGAATTAAGAACATATGAAAAACTATTCATTCGAAAATCAGACTCTAAACGGTTAAAGCAGTCCATTGCATCTCACATAGTCGCTGTGGTACTTGCCTCGACGATTATAAAGGTCTGGTTCACAGCGTTAGGAGCTATAAGTGCGGTCCCGAGCTATTAAAACGGGTGGATTTAACGCGCAGCGAGGCGGCTCCAAGTAACACTCTCATCCTCCTCATCCTTGTGAGCGTATACCATATTGATGGGAAATATGTACACGTAGATAGACCGATAGCACTTAGGCATGGGGCACATGACTAAGCTAAGTTCAAACTCGGAGCGAATATAAATACCTTATCAGATATCGTTACTCTCACATGCACGGGTAACTGCGCTACAAACAAGCTCTTTCTGTGAGCTGTTGCATATAAATGCGAGTTTTAGTTGACGATAATGTCTTTGGTAAACGGGTACATTTTTAAGGGGTTTACTGGGTGCAAGTTTTATATTTTGACACATATAGTGTTATTCTGCACGCTACAGTAGTAGTGGCATTGTCGTGGAGCACACTGTCTGCCGTGTATATACTTCGTGCTTTGTTGAGTTTATGAAGTGAGGTGAAGTAGGCATACTCCAGCATGATCGGGTACAATTTTAGTATATGAATCATCGCTACCCGATACATTAACGGGTTTGGGTGTATGATAATAAACGGCCGATAATAACAGAAACAAGGTTTTCGTTCCAAGATACACACGACTATGGCAGAGAGTATTTACAGTATCTTGCGGCAGCTATCAACGGCGGTAATCAATACATAAGACGATAATACTGGTACACGTTCAGGTTATATGTTCAAGCAAACCACAAATCGCGTTATCATTGGTAATCCTTGATAAAATGTTTTCGGTATGTTTTTTCATGTATAAAGCAATGATAAATCATCGTAACCACTGCCAACCCAGCTGTCCCACTGATCAGAGAAGAGAATCAAAACTTCAACATTGTATCTAAGTTAACATTATACGGCTCCACTATATCTGTCTTCAGATATCTGTAAGTTTAATTAAAGTAATCAGTTCTTAGCAGCTTGTTTATTTCATGCAAAGGTGAAGAATCATCACCGCCGGATATAGCTGGTATATTGCTGATTGCGACGTAAAACATCAGACAAAGGAACGACTGACTGACTGAGTTTGGTTTTACGCCGCTTTTAGCAATATTCCAGCAACATCACGGCGGGGAACACCAGAAATGGGCTTAACACATTGTGCCCATGTGGGGATTCGAACCCGGGTCTTCGGCGTGACGAGCCAACGCTTTAACCATTAGGCTACCCCACCGCCCCACACAAAGGAACGAGCAAAGATAATACAAGTGCTTGCGTTTCACTGCAAATATCTATATGTCTTCTATACTCATAAATTATTACCAGTTTTATGCATTAACCAAATTTCATTTATGCTTTAAGTTTTAAGATTTTGAAACGACTGTTGTCTCTCATAACACATATTGAGTGATTCTGTACTCTTACTTATGTTCTATGTTTATATGTATTTAGTAATATATTGTACACAAGTGAGACGTAAACAAACAACTGTCTGTCTGTCTGTCACGACGAAACTCGATATGAAGATGCAAGCCCTTTTTGCCAGTCTCCACACTGACGTAATATTACTTCGGTTAAAACAGCTACAGCAACGTGGTACCTGTCTCTCTTATAGCAACGTGGTTTTCAGAAACTTTTCAATATATCATCATTGAAAATGTTAGTTATTAAACGGTAATTACAAACCTGAGGACACGTTTGAAAATATAACCGTACGTGAAGAGATACACATATTGTGTGTCACGGGTGATGCAGGTGGTGTGTCACGTGATGCAGGTAATACAACAAAACAAACAATTTACAAGTACAATAATTCCAAAGAACACATGTACCAACTTACGATAGGCAATATTTAACTTTAAGAGATAAGGAATCGTGTTACCTTTCACAAGCAGCGCGACATCTACCAACGATGCGACAGGGAGGAGACGCTCATGCAATATGTTTCCTAACGCTCCTTACGGGGGATTAGTCAGGGTGTTATCTACTTAACGCGGGAACCAGAAGGAGTTCCGCCGCTCCGGAGAGGACGATTAAGGACAAAGATCGACTACACGTGCCAAGAAATGACCATGGCTTGAGGCGGTCGTGTATTTTCTATTGTCCGTGGTGTATGGGACATTCCCAAATTGACACCCTTCTCAAAAGCCTCTCATCGACTCATCACCTTTTTTCGCCGCGGTCAGATCAAACGGTCGGTTGAAGCAATTACCACTATTGCAGTACAACGTTACGTGAATAACCTTCAAAAGAACATGTTGCTTTTATCAAGTCGTTAGTTCAAGTCCTTCTGTGGTGAAATGGAGGATTTGGTACATGGGAAGAACTTAATCCTCAGATGAAATAATCTGTTTGAGAATCAACACGTTTGAGTGAATTATATGTCGCTTCATCGGTCTCGTCACTGGACGAGTGCGTTTGTTATGAGACGATGAAAGATTTTAGCAGGTTGAAACAATTTGGAAACTTCCACACATGCTGCCATCTCCCCTCTGTTACCACTACACTGAGTAAGTCATTGCAAAGGGTTAAAACAAACCGGAAACAACGAAACGTGAAACAGAATAATTAATTACCTGTTAACAGGCTGTTAAACGGCACGTTCCTGTTACTAAAAACAAAACCACGCGACAAACGTTTTGGCAACAGTTTGTCAACCCGAACTTTACCGAAACACACTACTTCCAATGAAACAATGTACATGCAAAAGATCAAACGTTCAATCATAACGGCTGTTATTAGTTACCTGATGTAAATCTAGCAACTGTGAGCAGCATGTGTGCCCACTCGTACAAACAGACTGGGAGAACGGAACCGAAAACAATTGTTGACATATCGCAATGTGTTATAAACTACCGCATTATCTACAACCGCCGACTGTGTTTTAATAATGTAAAGATGAAAAAGTAAATAATGGGTCAGAAGTAGACTTCAGATTGAACAATCAAAATATCAGTTCTCAAGCAAACGCTTGGGGTTGCTTTGTTGAAAGAATGTGGTTGAATAGTTTAAAAACTTACGGAGACTAGTAATTGTTTTAAATTTCAATATTTTATGATTTCTGTGTTCATGCACCATGATTGAAACTGTGAAACACGGAAAAGCTGTTGTCACCTACAAAACAACGCGACAACGTGTCGCGCTTGCAGAACAAACGGGTTGAGTTTCTTTGGTTTGATTGCAGTGCTTTAAGAGCTAACGTCGACATTGTCAGATCTTCTCAGGGCCAGCGATAAGGAGCAAATTATTTCTACGTTTAACTTAAAATAGATTTAAACTTATGAAAATATTGTTATTTAACATGTAACTATGTATCCAGAAATTCAATATTCAACACGAGAACAATAAGTGAACAGTTATTCGTTTTAATGTTTTTAAGATATTATGTATTGGGGCGGTTATACATATTCCAGATTGGTGCCGAAGTAAAATACACCTTGGGTGTGGGAGGACATCGACTTTAACTTATAAACCCACCCCTTCCCGTATACAGCAGTGTGTAACAAATCATTACCACCCCCGTTTCTAGTGGGATGACCAGAAACCATTTGACCTGCTGCAGGAGGCGAAACCCGCCGAGTCCCAATACCCGGCGGCGTTCTTACGGGTGTAAGAAACGTTATATGTCATTGTTGTACAACAATCAGGACAATTTCAGATCCGATAATTTGTCTTATTAGAGCAGAGTTGTGCGTCCTTTTGTCGGCTTGACGTCCAAGAATATAGTCCCCACGGGACAAAGACGGATCACGAGGGAGGCTCCCGAAACAGTTAAGTCATAAAAGGATATAAAAGTTACTTTGGGACAATGGTTTCCCTCCTTAATGACACAATGTATCTTCGCCTGACAGCGATATATACAATCCGCTACGACTTAAGGAGGGAATCATAGGATTACTAAACCAAAATAAGAGCAAGTTTAATACTTAATCATCTTCAATTAACGCCAGTTTAGTGGGGAACAGATTGCTGCGAACCTGTGTACCTTAGCACTCGGAAACAAATCGATGGAACTGCTGTGAGAGACACAGTCGACCAATGGGAGCCATTACCAGCTAAGAGGGTGCCGTGCTCGCGTCTTCCAGCGGGATGCTGGTCAGAATACGGCTTAATAACCACTTCATACACGAGTTCTGAACCATTCTTTCATTGTTTCCTTACAGAATAATCAAACTTCGCATGGCAGAGTAAATTACAGATAGACTGGTTGATAAACCCATGTTGTTTTACCACTGAGTTAACGGAATTCCCACCAAGCAGGAAGAAATGCCGATTATACAAGTGGTATACAATTTTAAGACTTGCAGTTCTGTGAAAAGTTGTTAGATTTTCGGGGGAGATTATTTCGCAGCTTGAAATTTTAATTACATGCAAGGTGTCATTAAACAATACGGTATTTGTTTCCACACGAGCTGTGTGTGTCTGATAAATGCGATTTCCATTTTACAACTATTTAATAGCTAATTCCAAACAGATTTGAACCAAGATAGTTTTGTTAGCAATACCATCAACTTGAAGGGGTTCGTCATTTAGGTTTGCGCGACAAGCACCCCCTGAAAACCAATCTGTTCTGTAATACCAGTCTGTATATTATTTGAACTCTTAAAGATGATTAGTCAAATGGTCACAGGATGCAAAACGAAAACGAATGGGGAGATGTGATGTTCTATACCTTCATGAAGTACTAAAACAGCATCCTGGTGATTTAATCTGACTACACTGAAGGAAGTCAAGACAACGGATGACGTTTTCTGTCAAATAATCATTGTTTAAAATACAACCATCTCTTACTCTGAATTTATACTGGCATGGTTTAATTTGTTAACAAAGTGGCAAGGCAATATGGTTTTAGAAATAAAGTTATCCGGGACTATGCCAAAGCGCATCGATTAATTACTCGGAAGGTAAGGAAATAACCTTCACTTGTCGGAACCCTTACGCACATTTTCTAAACAAAATAAATTTAAAGTAACAATAACTAATTACAAATATTATATCAACAGCGATACATATAAAATCATAAAACAAAATTAAAAAGGAATATATTTTATAAGTTAGGGTAATAATACAATGGAATATGGAAAGTTCTACTGCTTTTATCCGTTTGTAATAGGTACGACTGAAGTCAACACAATCCCGTATTGGTTTTAAACGCAATATTTAAAGAATGATAGTATCCCCTAAATTTAGGTTAGAAAATAACAAATAACAATGCTTTCTGTGAAAAGCACAACGTGTAAGATGAAAGACGGAATTGTCAACACGTCGAATAGTTCTGCAGCATTTCGTACAACTGTTGGCCTTTTTTATCCGACGATCAATAGAAAACCTATGCAAGAATATTACAAGAAATTAAATTACATTGAATTAAATTGCCAATGTGACCTGCAGAATAATACCATAAAAAGCATGATCATAATATGGTGTTAGAAGGCAATGAAATACTGTGATAACCTTGTGTGAGCAGAAGGGCGGACGGCGGAGATGGTAAGCGGGACAGGTAGAAATGCGACTATTGCTGTGCCGTGGGGAACATAGTGTGACAAGAAACGTGGGTTCTTCCATATATACCCTCCACAATCACGTGCACTGGAAACCCACAGATAAACAAACCCCACAAATCAAGGCCGACTTCCTCCCATGTTAAAATATTGAAAGTAAATCTTTACCACTGATTAAACAATGTATCTGTTATCATCCCTGATTAACAGATTCCATTCAGAAGAATGATGTTTAATCCTCTCGAGAAAATACATGCCGTGTGTCTGTTATAGAAACTACTTTACCACGCCGTACGTCTTCCGAGTGGGCTTTTGTTAGGTGCTTATTAGCGGTGCGCCATCTGCAATTGTTTAATTGAGCAGCGCAGGTAATTTCAGCTTTGTACTAATGTTTTAGCAGGTTAAGTGTTTAATTGTACCGTAACAGCCCTCCTCTTTACGGAGTTAGCGGACCTCGGGCATAACGATGAGCAGCCGAGAAAACTTTGAGTTCGTTGCCTGCGGTCACAGATGGATGGATGCATGCGAAAGAGTTTGTGTTGAAAGTTGGTCTGGAGTTTACCATCTGGTCTCGTTCCGCTCAGTGCTATCGTCGCATCATGTTAGGATTTGGTAGATAATATACACATGCATGTATAATATCACGTGTTTGTTACACTATCGTACGTTTTGCACGTGTTTTGCCATCTTAAGCGTGACCATGTAAAAACGACTTGACACGCACGTCTGTTTACTTACTATTACCTGATCACTTCTTTTGTAAAATATATTTGATCTTAACGCTTTTAAATATGTCTTTAATATATTAATAACTTTGGTTTTATTAAGTCCATATCGTGTTCTCATCCCGCTGTTGTGTACATAATGCGACTATGAATTTTAACACACTTAAGTCAACGATATAAACAAGTAAATAAATACATAATTTCGTGCCAGGGCAAAACATTTAAGATGGCACACTTGTTAAATACCTGGAAAAAAACCTTTAAAGAACGGAATAATAATTTTCATACATGGGAGATTTTCGATGTGCAAACCAAACCACAGGGAAGTGCATGAAGACAACCCACCAAATCAGTTCAGTCTCAACTCAAGACGGTAACGCTGACATCGGTCGATTACTGATGAATACCAGTCCCACATGAAACAGAGGATACTACTTTGTCCCTATGTACGCGCACTGACAGAATGTGTACTCTGTATTCCCTATCTCAAACCCTTTCAATACATGCTCACGTGCAAACTTTTTTTCATGTGAAAACAAAGTTATCTGAAATATCCTATACAATTCTAAGCAGCCAGTAAGCATTGTTGTTAACAGATAAAATATATAACAATGGTTATTAATCATTAATTGAAACAAATAATCATTAATTAAAAGTTTACAAACATGCTACTTATGTATTCATATATTTTTGCATTGTTATCATCCTTTTTATTATTATGATATAGAAAGTTGTCAAAATATTACTTTCAATTTAGACACTTAAATTTCCCGACAATTGAACGATTTTTTCCGCAGTGAAGTTGTCAAGTATGAAATATATTTAATAATTATTTTATTTCATGTCAGGTATAAAATATACTTCACGGGAATGTATTGTCGCGGAAATGCTTGAATTAATTATCAGATATAATATTCTGTAAATTACATTTTTTTTCATAAACTGTATATATTTTAATGACATTATAATCAAAACTTTAAAAAGTTTAGAGTTGTTTAAAACGAAAAGGTAGGAAACTGTTTACGACATAGAAACTGGCACAAAACACTTCATTGACTAGTGATGTATACAAATTATGTTGTGGAGACAACTTACCTGAAATATTGGAGCAGCGAGTGTCAGTCGAGCTAGTCGCGAATGGGTGTCACGGTTGAAACTGACAGGGTATCTTGGATGCGCGTGGCCGTCACACTTACCAACCGTCAGTGCGCACGCTCACGCCCGCCAGCCAATCAAATCACAGTCTTTGTATCGCCACGGAAATTGCCCGGACTTCCGTAGACAGATTAAGCACTTACGCTTCTCGTAGTATGTTCATGAATTTTTAAAAGAAAGTTGATGAAGATTTCAAAAACACCCTGCGTTTGTATGAGCGAAGATAGACCGCCAAGTCGTGTTGTCGCAGCAAGACGGAGTCAATTTGCGAGCGGCACGAAAACCGCTTCGACTTTAAACGTTCGGTACAAATTACCAGCGTCGTAATTCTAAAGGAGGGAAGAACGACTGTTGCCTTCGCTCTTGTTTTCGATAGAATGTTTTGTCCTCTCATGCGGAAATGAATTTCAACGAACTAGAAGACGAAGCGGAGAGAGGGAGGGTGTATTCAATGGGGCTATGAATTAAACAAACCACGACAGTTCCCTGGCCCTCCACTACACACGGTTATGGCACATACGTCTATATGCGAGCGTCGCTCGTGCGTGATAAACTCCTTATTTTCAGAGATCTAGTTTAGTATTTTTCGACAAAATTCTTAATTTATCGTGATTGACGTGGTATTAAGACCCGCCTTCTGCATGTAACTCTGTGAGACTGTGGCCAAGTGAATAGCGAACAGGGCGAGTAAAATGGCCAGCCGCTTGGCACTATCAGAGAAAGGAAATGAGCTGTATTGTCTATTTTCTCTCTAGGAAATACGGAGTTAGGGGATTTTCAACGCTTTTATGTGGATCTTTCAAGCTAGGGCGACAAGACATGTCTGAGGTGTTGGTCGAGAGAACAGAGCGAGGATGAGAAATTTCCTGTTCGTTTCAATCGCTTTATGTGCATCACGTTAAAGTACGAGACCTATGGCTGTCTGTCTTTCACGGGAATAATATCAAAGTCACAGATTTACGGGGTATGTCACTGTCGAGTCGGGGGCAAATACAGTTGATCTTCTCTGCAGAATCGTCTGGCGGCACCACATTAATACCGGGGATGTAGTATTTAGATGAATAATTAATTTCATAATTAATTAAAAAGTTCACTTAAGGTTTGTTCAGGCTTATAATTCTATGGAGTAGAGACGACGGGTCTTTATGTTTTGAAGGGCATATTTGGAGGAAACCTAACACTTTAATTGGCAATGCAGCCGGCAGGGTATTAATTTCGTCACTTTCAGGGTAGAATATGGGTTGGAGGTGAAGTGCATGTGATGTGCTGGAGGGTACAGATTCCGTAGAGTGCATGTTATTTTAATTTATATTTTTGTTTTTAATTTACTAATTTTAAAATTGTTTTTAAATCTACACTTGTTTCCATTTGTGATGACGTCACATACCACCTCATGTAGTTGAAGTGGGGTTGGGATTATTCGTAACGGTATCGGTATGCCGGACAGTAGACTCACGGGTAAATACTAGTATATCATACACTAGAAAACTTGATTCTACCAAACTAACTACAAACGTTATCAAAACGTCACTGGTCTTGAAACAGTCACGGAAACACTGTCAACTACAGGTAATAAACACACCTGTGATACCTGTATGAAACATCGCCATCACCATTGTTTCAGTTTTAGCCACTATGAAACATGGCGCACACGCCCAATTACCTGGCAGTATGTACAGGGGTATGACCATATCGTCCTATTAAATATAGCGTTAGCTTGTCACATTTTACAAAATCTCGGTAATCAAGAGATGTAGCTCGGATTCCAATTGCTGGCTGGTACACAGTACCCCTTATAATCCGGACTACACATGGATTAACAACTGGAGTATTTGAAGCTTCAAGGAAGCTCCCAGTGATTGTAAAACGCAGAAACCGATTTTACTTAATCCCATAAACTATTGCATGATATGATTCTGTACCTGGTAAAACAGCGTCTTTGACTGGTTAATCACATGCTGGCACTTTAAGGGAGGTATGCATGGATCCAGTTGAAACGTCTTTTAGCATTACCCTCATGTCTAATCCAAAACAGGAGTCTGGCGAACGCTGAAACGGAGGTCCTACCGTTCAGCTCCGTGAACACCTATTACAGGTAACATCTTTTAAACATCAACCCTTTTCAACCGTCTAAGAGGCTCTTGTCCATGGCTCAGAGATAAACATAAAAGATTTTTCTTTAAAAAATCCTAAAATAAATATGAAACCCCTACAGATGCATGGATGATCTCTGATTGTGTTGGATGGGTCCGCCTTTCATCTGACGAGCCTTTAGATTGAAGTTACACGGTTTTTAGACACCCTTCGTCATGGACCGCATCCCAACGACCATATGTCTAGCGTATCTCACCATCTCACAAAGGCGCATTGATAAGCATCTTCGCTTGTCACGATAAACAACCGACAGGGGAGGGATCCTGTGGTAAAGAATAGACACAGCGGTGTACATATTTAGCCGCTATTGCTTGTCTCGTCAAATTCTAGGTGTCAGGGTTTAGGGTAATTGTTAAGTATATTTTACACAGAAGATACGATGAAAGATCCGGTAGCTTAGCTATATAGCATCGGCGACCTCGAACAGCGCTGTCGTTTAAGAGATTATGTACATACGCTGGAGTGGATGTGTCAGCGCCTTTTCTTCGGTATCGCAGCGGCGATGTATATTAATACGGGTTTTAGTGAGTGAGTGAGTTTAGTTTTACGTCGCTGTTAGCAATATTCCAGCAATACCATGACTGGGGCACCAGAAATGGGTTTCACACATTGTACCCATGTGGGGAATAGAACCCGGGTCTTCGGCACTTTAACCACTAGGCTACCCCACCGTCCCCGAATCGACTGTCGAAATTATTATCGATGGTGTCATGATGAAGTAGAGGTTGGAAGGGGTACAGGTGACCCGGTAGTCTTGACCGCCACATTTTAGAGAGTGAATATGGTTTTACGCGTCTATTAGCAGTATTCCAGAAATACCACAGACGGGGAACATCAGAAATGGGTTTCGCATATTGTACCCACGCCAGGAATTGAACCCGGGTCTTCGCTGTTCGGTCGAAGGATTTAACCACTAGACTACCCCAACGCCCAATCTTCAGTAACCCATGCTTGTCGTAAGTGGCGACTAACGGGATCGGGTGGTCAAGTTCGCAGACTTGGTTGACACATGTCATCGGTTCTCAATTGCGTATATCGATGCTCATGCTGTTGATCACTGATTGTCTGGTCCAGACTCGATTATTTACAGACCGCCGCCATATAGCTGGAATATTACTGAGTGCGGCGTAAAACTAAACTCACTCACTCCTGCCACAATTATCTATGGGGACGTAAGGTCGTGGGTTCGAATCTCGATGGGCCGTGATGGCCTTCTAAGGTTTGTCAGCCCCATACCCGGTATTACCACAGTGGCCAAAGTCTGAGACATGCGTCACGTCCGGCCTTCCTCGTACGACTGGTGAGGAAGCCTAGTGGGTAAAGAGTTCGCTCGTCCCGCCGAAGTCCCTGTTTCGATTCCCCTCATGGGTACAATGTGTGAAGCCCATTTCTGGTGTACCCAGCCATGATAATGATTGAATATTGCTAAAAGCGGCGTAAACCTAAAACTCACTCACTCACTCCCACTTCAGCCTGACAAGTCATGAAAGAACGTGAATACAGTGTTGATAATATGAGGATAGGGTCCAATGGAACAACCAACCATGTCATGAGCCTGACAAATTTACACACCTCTAACGATCTGGGCCCTTATTCTCGAAACGTTCTTAGCCCTAAGAATTCTTCATTGTGATCGTAGCCAATGTGGGCTTAAGAAGTTCGTAGGGCTACGAACGTTTCGAGAATAGCTAGCCAGGAGATGTTACTGGGGACGTATTCTAAATCCGGAGTACCGACGTTGGTGTTGAAAGCCTCGGCCAGACAGCTATATTCAGTGAGATAGATGACACCATTGTAACCTCCCGATATCTACTTGTAATCGCTTCTTACAAACAGCTGGCACGGGGCGCTGACAATCAATTATGGACCAGAATATTCAAATTCAGCTATGTAATTTTAAACCACGCTGATTGTAGAAAAGCGCGAATTGATTTACACCTTTGAACGTAGGATTACAACAACAAAATCAGTAGAAAGGGAAATACACATGTACCATCATACACGAAATGGCAGGACACGGATAGATACCCGTATGCAAGAAAAGGTAGGACACGGACAGATACCCGTATACAAGAAAAGGAAGGACACGGACAGATACCCGTATACAAGAAAAGGAAGGACACGGACAGATACCCGTATACAAGAAAAGGAAGGACACGGACAGATACACGTATACAAGAAAAGGAAGGACACAGAAGGACAAGACACGGACAGATACCCGTATACAAGAAAAGGAAGGACACGGACAGATACACGTACAGAACCCGTATACAAGAAAAGGAAGGACACCGACACGGGCAGATACCCGTATACAAGAAAAGGAAGGACACGGACAGATACCCGTATACAAGAAAAGGAAGGACACGGACAGATACCCGTATACAAGAAAAGGAAGGAAGACACGGACAGATACCCGTATACAAGAAAAGGAAGGACACGGACAGATACCCGTATACAAGAAAAGGAAGGACACCGACAGATACCCGTATACAAGAAAAGGAAGGACACGGACAGATACCCGTATACAAGAAAAGGAAGGACACGGACAGATAGCCGTATACAAGAAAAGGAAGACACGGACAGATACCCGTATACAAGAAAAGGAAGACACGGACAGATAGCCGTATACAAGAAAAGGAAGGACACGGACAGATACCCGTATACAAGAAAAGGAAGACACGGACAGATACCCGTATACAAGAAAAGGAAGGACACGGACAGATACCCGTATACAAGAAAATAAAGGACACGGACAGATAGATACACGTATACAAGAAAAGGAAGGACACGGACAGATAGCCGTATACGAGAAAAGGAAGGACACGGACAGATACCGTATACAAGAAAAGGTAGGACACCGACACGGGCAGATACCCGTATACAAGAAAAGGAAGGACACGGACAGATACCCGTATACAAGAAAAGAAAGGACACGGATAGATAGCCGTATACAAGAAAAGGAAGGACACGGACAGATACCCGTATACAAGAAAAGGAAGACACGGACAGATACCCGTATATTTGAAAAGGAAGTGCGTACATATATGCCTGTTGACAAGATCAGAAATAGACAGATGCCCATATACAAGAAAGTTAATGGACACAGGTATGAACCTCTACAGTAATCACGGACATGTGACAACAAGTTGGTTACAGGGCATGTGTTGGAGGGGCCTGTCAACTCCAGGGGCGTGGGGTACAGCCCTGTGAAGCACTCGACTACATCACTTGCCTCCAATAAATACCTGTCAACGTATATTAAGTGAGACATCAAATAGCTTGAAACAAGGGGAGGATGTAGTTAAGTGCACGCTTGATGCCCTGAACAGACGGGTGGAACCGTGACAAAGATGAAGGCTCAACGCAAGGGACTACCGGTGCTATTGTGAACCCCGGGGCTCTCACGGGGAGGAAGGTAATAAAGTCGAACTGCTCGCAGTGAATCAGTGAACCACTGAGTGGCGATGTATGTTGTAAGTGCTGGAGGCGTCTCAGCTCGCCTTGAGGCTCAACGCGCCTGGCTCACATACATTCGGCATCAGCTGCGACGATTTAAGGGATGATATATCAAACGCTGTAAAACGAAATGAAACGTCTCTTGTCATTAGCAACGCATGAAGGTAGGTTCCGGCTGTGGCTTCTACTTTCAGTGTTCAACGCAGAACCTTGAACATGTGCAGTAACTGCTAGCTCGGGTATTAGAAGCTGTCACTGACGAGTGCAGCTAGTGCAATGCCATATAAGGTAAATTAAGCACATCAGCTGATAAATGAGGCAGTGATGAGTTCTCTTTGAACTGTATTTCAAAATTGCCAAAGCATGTCATAATGAAGTGAATGAGTGAGTTGGGTTTACGCCGTAGCTTGATGTAACAGCAAAACCAGACGCATGTCGTACATATTTCCTAATTTGGAGAAGTTCTCTTAAGGGTTTTTCCAAAACAAAAGTTCAGAAAAAGGGTCAAATATTGGATTCTACGAACAGAGCAAATCTGAGAGTGAGTGAGTGAGTTTGGTTTTACGCCGCTTTTAGCAATATCACGGCGGGGGCACACCAGAAATGGGCTTCACACATTATACCCACGTGGGGAACGAACCCTGGTCTTCGGCGTGACGAGCGAACGCTTTAACCACTAGGCTACCCCACCACCCGCAAATCTGAGAAAACATTAAAGGTGGTTGTGTGGGGGTAGCAACATAATGAGGGAAAAGATTCATTACGATAAAGTAATCGGGTACAATGAGTGAGTATCGTTTTACGCCGCTTTTAGCAATATTAAAGCAATGTCACAGCAGGTGACACCAGAAACGGGCGTCACACATTGTACCCATGCATGTAGGGAATCGAACCCGGGTCTCCGGGTTGACGAGCGAATGCTACAACCACCGCCCAAATGGGTTTCAGTAATGGGTTTCCTTCCATGTTGGCGTTGACGGATTGGGATACCAAGCACCACGCACACACCCTGTTGGGATTCTTGGAGAGAACATGTCATCAGATCCTTTACCTTGTAAGAACCGTCTGAGATGGCTGTCCGATGGTCAGGTTCTGTGTGCTGTCTGATTGCGTTTCGTCGTTGGTCATGCTATCAACCATCGGTTTGCTCAATCCAGAATTAAATATTCTTATAGCTGACCTAGTTTTGACGGAGCGTGCGGCAAGGACCAAACAAATATAAAGACAAAACTTGACAAATTCTATCTGCAAGTGATGACCTATTGCAAACATCCATGCAAAAGTCACTGGCTACATTTCCGTGGAAGTCTGGGTCGGAATAGATCCTTAGGTGGCTGAACGTAACTGCTGACTACCATGGGGGATTAGCTAGTAAGCGTACTGTGTCATGTCCCGTTGTCATATTGTCAGCCACAGGTGTTTTTGCTCAAGGATGAAAGGACCCGTGAAGTGAGTGAGTTAATATTTAACGTCACATCGCAATATTTCAGCCATATCGGCTATTTCAGTTAATTTATATCAATATGAAAATCAATAAATTTAGAACATAACAACCTGTCATCGAAGGATAGTAAAAATACTAGAGCATCCCAGATATAAAGTTAAAACTAGTACACTATCATAAAATTAAATCAGTATAGACAGTACAAAATATAAACGGGTTATAGATCGCCAACAACTGAAGGTAGATCACCATACTAGGATCCATGGGGGTCTTACAGTACTTTTGCTACTTGCATGGACCCTAGCTGGATTTACACCATGCCTTCAACTGCCCACGAGTATGCTGAGTTTTAGCCATTATTAAAAATAACAAATATACCACGATTAAAAGTTGGGTAGAGCTAAATTGACTTTGATGTCTTGGGACTTACGTACCCTCTCAGGGGGACAATAATATCACGATACTTTAACCCCCTTTGAGGAAGGACCCGTGAAGATCGGGTTAGAATTGGTCTTCAGTAACCCGTACTTGTCGTACTGACTGAGTTTGGTTTTACGCCGCTTTTAGCAATATTCCAGCAACATCACGGCGGGGGACACCAGAAATGGGCTTCACACATTGTACCCATGTGGGGATTCGAACCCTCCGTGCTTGTCGTAAGATTCGACTAACCGGATTGGGTGGTCAGGCTCGCTGACTTGGATGCTCATGCTGTTGATCACTGGATTGTCTGGTCCAGACTCGATTATTCACAGATCGCCGCCATACAGCTGGAATATTGCTGAGTGCGGCGTCAAACAACAAACAAATCAAGGATGAAACATTTCAACCCCTTTGTGATTCCGACTCCGAACAATTTCCTTGCAACCAAATGGATCAGGTAGTCGGGCTTTCAAGAAGACGTGGCTGATTGTGTGTCATCACGTGTGGATATTTGTTCACAGCATAGACCCCTTGATTGTCTAGTCCATCCAGGGACTTTTGCTGACTGCGTCGTCAAACAAACAAACACAAATGATTTCAAGCTGATATCATTTAATTACTGCATGGTTTCCCGATCACTCAAATTCAAGACGCCACCGTCTGCCAGAAATCCAGGACCAGGGAAAATACGATATGGAGAAAAGACCCGCCCTGCTGACTAATTAAAAAAATGGTTAAATAATACCATTACATTACAATATCATGACAGCATTTCAATACACTCCAAGTTTTATATTTATTACGGTAATTGGTTTGTAACTAACAACATCGTAGTCAAGATAGTCAATTGGCTTAATAATGATAGCGCGTGTGCGTGTGGGATTACATCATACCTGTACAATGTATAGTGCCCCACTGTAACAGTCTGCCCGGTCTGTAACAGTTGTTACAGTATGTAGCCAATACAGGCACGACACGGCCTTTGTTGGGAAGGACTACGGGCACTAATCGCTTTACGATTTGCTGATCTGACAGATTTACAACTCAAGGGCCCATTAGGAATTGACATGAACCTCATTAGGATACTCGCATCTCATAATGCCAATATGTTCGCTTACTACCTTACCTGAATTTTCGAAAATTTGAAAATGTTCTCAGCAGTCAGTGCCCACGTGCACGTCATGTCGGTACAAGGGGCAGTGGGGTAGTCTAGTGGCTAAAGCGTTCCCTCGTCACGCCGAAGACCCGTGTTCAATTTCTCACATGGGTACAATGGAATATTGCTAAAAGCGGTGTAAAACCATACTCACTCACTCTCTCATGTCGGTACAATCAATCAACGCCACAGAATCCAGCCTCGATTATCCAACATTGGCCGTAAAAGGGAAAACAAACTGTGAAAATTGAATGAATGGATCACTGAACATCAGCAATGACACCAGGTGTTCTTGCAAAGGGTAAGCATGTCCTGGCCTTCTGGTAACAGCAGCCACTTGCACAAGGTGTATAAAACAGTAAATGTTTGTAACCTACGTGGGGCGGTGGCTTAGTCTAATGTCTAAAGCGCCCTCTCGTCACGCAACCCTTACTCACTCACTCACTCTAACCTACGTGACTCTTCACAGCAAAGGTATTTTACAAGACGTAAAAAATAATATATTTCATGAATGTTCTGGCATTTGTTGTTTTGGGGTACCCAATGGTTAACCGATGATAACCTAAAAACATCAATGAAGATCTGGTTAGAAGTGGCCTTATGTTTGTTTTGTTGCACTCCGCAATATTCCAGTTATATGGCGGCGGTCTGTAGATAAGACATGGGGTCTGGACCAGACAGTCCAGGGATCAATAGCATGAGCATCGATCTACGCAACTGGGATACGGTGACATGTGTCAACCTGACCATCAGATCCCGTTAGTCACATCTTACGACAAGCATGGGTTGCTGAAGACCCATTCTAACCCAGATCTTCACCGGTGACAATAACCGGGAGTCAGCGTTTTATACTCTAGCCCATGTCATAAAATATACTAACAGATACGATTGAAACAGTCACTTTGGTAAAACGCACATCCCAGTAACAGGTCTCTTCATTCGCCTCAGTTTAAGACAAAAAGCCTCGTAAACTTTCTGTGGGAACAACTTTCTGGTTTCTATTAGAAAAACTGATTTCGACGATGTAATGGTAATAAGGTTGATAATGAATGGGGTGGGTGGTAGATGTTGAAAAATAAATGAATTATCAAAACATTATTTGGCTCCCAAAGACGAAAGAATATAAAGAGAAAACAAATTCTTTGTATTTGCTTATGTAAACAACAACCAAAAACATTAAAGACATAAAAAACCCAGAATAGATTATAAAACAACAACATTTATTCCGCACGAAGGAATGTAAAATATACAATTTGGTATTTTAGTCATCTACAATGCTAAACATAGTCACTTTCTCAGTTTCAGTTAAGGAATATTGACTTCCATCGTATTATTCCTTTGTAAATGTTAGTAAACAATTCTTCATAACTCATGTATCAATGTATAAAAATATAGAGAGAATCTCACCCAAGTGTCTACTGATATCAATTATATCAACACAAGTTGATAAAGTTACAAATATCCGAGGCTTACCGAGGATAATTTTACCTTTATCAACGAGTGTTGATATAATTGATATCAGTAGACACGAGGGTGAGATTCTATTTATCATAAAAAATCACTCTTCCTTAGTTTTCAATGGAAAATGTACATCTCTCAACACTGTACTACCATTAGACTTGCAGTGAAGCGATGTCATAGCATTGTGACGTCATCAAGTTCATGACGTCATAACATTGTCAAGGCATTGTACAAAATCTGTCAAAACGATATATCTCCTAGGAGATATCATATGATCTCACACAAGCGATATCTCCTGTTGAACACAGGTTTGGATGATAAACATATAATCACGACACGTCATATTCTGTAAGGGATATCTGCCAGCGGAAAGTCTTCGCGAGTTCCTTCTTTGTAACTACACCATCACCCGAACATCCCGGTGAGTGAAATATTCAGTGATGGGTTGGGTGAGTAAATGAGTGGGTGTATAAGAACGAGGGTGCAGTTTCGTTCAGCGCTGTAACCGGAAATATTATAACTTATGACTGCCGCCCAAAATTCATCGAAATTCCACAAACTTCCCATCGGCAGTTCATACCTAACAATGTGTAAACTCGTGGTTGATAGCAAGAGCAATATTCACTGTTGGGTTACGACACCGAGGAGGAAATAATATACATAACCATATGTTCATTCTACATTCAAATATAGTTCATGATGTATTACTAATAAATAACAAGTGGCACGACAAATATTCAGATCAGTTTATTTAACCTGATATCAGGGAATGTTTGTCAGTCAGACAGATCAGTCATGTGACAAAACAGTTGAATTTCAGTAAGAAAGCTGAGAAATTCTAAATTGGGATCCCTTAAAAATCAAGTCCATCAATATGCATGCAGTCAGGACAAAATCGTGTTTCTCGTGCCCAGAACACCATTATAAATCAGTGGTAAATGTATGGGTCGATCCAGTGGTAAACACTTGAGTATTTACACCATTGTGCGCCACGTCACATCCAATCACATCAACAGTGCTGTCAGCATACGAGTCACTCCAAGTGGCATATGACAGCACACACGGTTCGTTACAGACCCACAGACAGGAAATGTTGAGTTTGTTTGCACGGAAGACACAATGCTTTAAATCAGGATGGCCCGTGACTGTATGAGTGGTGGGTGGGGTGACGAACAATGGGTGTGGGTCTGCCAAATTGATCCCTGGGGTGAGGTCCTTCATATCTCACACATACATCAAATCTCGTACCGTGCGTGTCTCCTGTGGCCAGGTGTTTCAGGCAGAATCATCTTCACGGAGGAAATGCATAGTAGGCCGTCAATTAAGCTAATAATAAGGATTGTTTCTCATTGAAAAAGGAAGAATTTAAAAAATAATTATTATGTTTTACAGATTAAAATACATTTTGCAGCACAGAGGGTTCGGGTGATCACAAAAAAATGAAAAAATAATTATCATTGTTATTATTATTTATATTATTAAAATTGCTGATTTCCTGCATCGTTTATATCTGCTTCAGTCTTACAGAGCATTATATCTTGCATACCTGATACAGACAATTTGGTATTTTATTTATGGGCAGGGCTAAAACCTCCACTTTTACAATTTCAGTTGAGGAATGTTTACTTCAATCGTATTTATTTTTTAAATGTTACCAAACAATTGTACACAACTCTTGTTAATAAATATGACCGAGAAATATTGCATTACTTCTATGTAGCCTATATTGAATGCTGTTTCGGTTCAGTTTGAATAAGAATGTCAGTTGTAGGAGTAGCAATCACTGAGAGACTGCATACATACTCTTTCCTTCAATGAAATTGTTATATTTGCATACATATATCCTTTTACATTTCCTGTAATAGATACTAGACATTGATTATGCTTTCTTATTGCTTTTATATTAGTGTTAAAAGGAAGTCAAAAGACATTTTGAAATAACTAGAGCCGTTAAATTGCATAAACTATTTGTCAACCCGTAAATGTTGCCCCTTTTCGTTTCTGTTCATAAAGAGTTGCTTTAGGACGAAGCATTGAATCACTCACTCTCCTTTAATTTACCGCGCTTCCTATTTTGCCCTGATTGTGAAACGAAAGGGTGAATATTTGTGGTGATAACTTGTACTTGAATAAAAGGCTGGACCCATGTACAATCATTGAATAAAATGAACTCTGCTATATCTTTGAATCCATGCTTGAACCATGCTTTATCATTGAATACGTTGTTGGCTCTTAACGATGATATGAAAGAAATAATCAATATTACAATCAGTATGTACGAACGTTGTTCTATATATTATTTATTGGTTTGCACATAACGCTAATATTTATTCCCTCATCGTCCAATGTGTGATCTAAACGTTACTGATTTTTCAATATATCTTAAGAGGTTTCCTCATAAGCTTTACTTGTAAAATATGAACTTGATTTATTGGGTACGAATAAAACTATACGGAAACTACACTTTCTAAAATGGCATTGTGTATTTCATACATATACGGAAGGAAATATATTATATTTAAAAGTTCAAATTACGTTCAAGAAGATTATTTCTTGCTGATCTTTCGAAACATCTCACCGTCTGAAGAGTCGTTCGCATCAACTTACTGATTACATTAAACTGTTTTTGAGTTTTATTGATAAATTAATTCAATATTTATTTATGAAATTATATCAAATTTCATGCCATCTGCAATTTCATCCCACACTGCCAATTTATTCCTTTTAGGAAATCCCCGGCGATACAGTTCTCTGTCCTAGATTTGTCACAAGATTTCTAATTAGTACAGATAAAAAATCATTACATTTGTGTAAATTCATAATTGAAATAATATGCCGTGTCAATTCATCACTTGAAATGTTTAATAGGACGTGCGGTTTTATTTAATCAGAACATCAGTGTCCACACTAACAGACATTTAGCACTACCAACTACGGCGCTTCCTTCCATTCATAGACGTTTTTTCCGCCACAACTTCCGTGATGTTTCCTACCTGCGCCAACCCCTCCCTGCCCGCCAACAAAAGCTTATGACGATGAATCGCTACTCTCTCTGTTCATTGATTCCTCAGCGCGCCGTTGCAAGGCCACTTATAACATTGTACAATAATGCTCGACCACTCGGCTTCGCTTTACAACGCGAAGTACATTCGAGTGGCGCTTTCAGCTCCACCCACACGGAACAGGGTACGGAGAATGTCACTCGAGTGATCACACTTTTAGTTCCAAGAAAGGTATAATTGAAAAGAAAACTAGAAATAATAAAACTTAAATCAGAATGAAAATCGACAACTCTGCCTTCGGTTTGTCATGGGCCGGTCTTATATTCACATGCACTCGGAGCTCAGCTGGAAGTTCGCAAGCGAAAAGTGGCCAGTTCTATTTTGTTTGGAAAGAAAAGGCACTTACTCCTAACTGAAATGGTCTGCCTTTCCCTTGATTTCGTTGACAAACGTGTAGCGCTTGTGATGACGTGCTTGTTAGGCCCGACTAGGCCAGGTGACGCTACCAATACACCCGCTCTTTACGCCCTTATTCAAACAGTATAGATTATGACCTAACAATGGGCACTTGATATTAAATATTCATGATAACTCCAATAAAAAATTCATATGGACAGAAAACAATGTGTTTCTTGTCGCTTAACGGAAAATCTTTGGAAGCAATTCGAATGGCCCCTCAGTCGTCCTCGACGTCGAGGAGTAGTTGTGTCCCCTGTTTATAACTCTTCAGCACGCAGTGGTACTTAATGTCACAGGCATGCGATCATTGCACGGGAAAAACATGCAGCACGTGCACTGCCGGCATTGTAAAGAACATGCGTTTGACTTGACAAGTACATGCAACTATGACCCGACTTCAAACCTTTCAAGTGGCAAGCATTTAAAAGATGAGAATAGTTTGTCTTGATTTTTTCGCAATTTTCTCAGGTTTTCTTCTCTTCAACCCTCTTCATGTGCACTCGTAGAAACGAATCAATGTTAAATGACACGAAAATAAGGCGCCTGGCAGTTTCAGTGAGCCCCCGTGGGACCCGACGGTTCGATGTATTTTATGTTTGGGAAACAAACGTAACGACATGAGTTAGCTGCTTTGACACGCCTAATGCGTTTTAGTTAATTATCGTGGGGATCCAAATATATTTTGAATATGTGATAAATAACGATTGCCCTAGTTTGTTATCAAACAATACAATCTCGAAAAATTTAAGAATTGATATCCATATAGACATAACGCAGGCCTGGTGCCTCTAGCCAACGCTTGAGTCCAGAATCGTCTACAATAGAGTATTAGTAAGTGGTAGTTAGATTAGAAAATACTTTCGGGGTTAAAGAGTGGAAGTTGTTCCTCAAAGAATTCTCTTCCATGCTATTAAAAATATATTTGCCCAGCATTGGAGGGCAAAAATATTGAGCCTTTTTGTTGCAGACTATAATGAAGTGGGCCCGTGAAGATCCGGGGTAGAATAGGTCTTCAGCAACCAATGCTTGCCACAAAGGCGACTATGCCTGTCGTAAGAAGCGACTGACGGGATCTTTTGGTCAGGCTGGCTGACTTGGTTGACACATGTCATTGGTTCCCAATTGTGCAGATCGATGCTCATGCTGTTGATCACTGGATTGTCTGGTCAAGACTCGATTATTTGCAGACCGCCGCCATATAGCTGGATTATTGCTGAGTGCGGCGTAAAACTAAACTCACTCACTCACTATAATAAAGTGTGTAAAGTATGCAGTTAGTTATTTAAAAAACTATTAACAAATATTGAGCACCTATTTATGTTGAAAATGAATTGAGCTCGTGAACATGCTCATTAAGCAGGTTCCTGTAGTTTCCGTCTCGTGATGACGACTTGGAACATTGAAGAATGCAGCCTTGCGTTCGCCAAAGATTCAGGTTCGATTCCCAAACACGAGAACAGTGTGTGACCCTCTCATGGAATAAAGGTTGATTCTGTAAATCACAAGGGACGTCTCTCGAGCGATATTTTTCAAATGAGAGAAAAAAGGCGGTGAATTTTTATATTTTTCTTAATTATTTCAAGGAGTGGTCACGCCGAAGATTCCCAACATGAATACAATTTGTGAAGTCCGTATGTGATTGTTGCTGAAATATTGCTAAAAGCTGCGTAAAACTAAACTCACTCACCCAAACCACATACATACATGCAATACGTTTATATGATTAACGGGAGACACAGTTGGCCCACTCGTCTAAGGCAATTCACGTGCGGAACCAATGATCTTTGGTTCGAATCCCAGTTCGGTCTGATTATGTTTCCAGGTCTGTCTGCGCCATACCCATGCAAGTGGGCTTCACCAGATCGGTAAACGACTGAAATGGCATGGGCGGATCCAGGAATTCTGAAGAGAGAGAGAGAGAGAGAGAGTGTGTGTGTGTGTGTGTGTGTTAAAAAACCCTGAACCCCTCTTGGCTCCGCCAACGCCCCCAAAATTCGATGTGGTCTTAAGTCATTTTTCAAAAGGGGTCGTACCCCCTGGACAACAACACCCCCACCCCCACCCCCCATCAGCTCTTTCCTCTTTGGCGGGGCCGTGGAGTAGCCTAGAGGTTAAAGTGTTCGCTCTTAACGCCTAAGACCAGGTTTCGATTCCTGACATGAGTACTATGTACGAAGCCCATTTCTGATATCCCCTGCCGTGATATTGCTGGAATATTGCTGAAAGCGTCGTTAAACTTTTGCATGGTGCTTACCCTTGTAAATTCATCCTCTGGATCAAATTCCACATGCACAAGAGTGTCGTCACTCACGGAGCTTCACTATGTAACTGTATGGTGGTTCGGCGTTTGAATCCTTTAGATCCCCTTGCGAAACCGAATTGTGATAGAATCAGTAAATACATGACAAACACTGAATAGATACAACCTGCCAATTGTATTTATCAGAAAATGAATGTTCACAGCTGCAAGCGTCACGTTACCCTTGAATTATAATCATTTAGTCACCAATAAGACAGCATTACCAGTTCATGAAATAATAGTTGACCCAAAAGCGTGACAATGCTATGAAAGCCGACAATCTTAGGCAAGCAACTTCAAAAAGTTTCGCCCACGCGCCACCAGCCGTGTTTGTAGGGCGCTGACGTTATTCTCAAAAACATGTTATTTATGAACCAATGATTGCAGGCATAATATTTCGGGACAGATTGTCTACGATTTATTTCGTTTGTTTCTACTTATGCCTCACCTTCGGAATCGCTCAACCGGAAGGGGAGAGCTTGTATTTCGTTTTATTGCCCAATAAAACTGTTCACTCCTTTTGAAACATATTTTATAGATTTTAGCACGAAAACGAGATATTTTTTTATCGAGATTCATAAGCGTTATGATTCTTTACCGAAATCAGAGTATTTGTATCTAAACACTCGGAGACAATAAGTAATGCTTGTTACGCCGAATACCCGGGTTCGATTCCCCAAATGGGTACCACGTGTGAAGCCTATTTCTGGTGTCCCCCGCCGTGATATTGCTTGAATATTGCTAAAAACGTGAACGAAACTTTATTATATTTTGATTTCTGAGCAGGCATGTATCAGATTACGGACTTAAACATTTATCGTATTTCAATTCAAACAAAACTTTATGCAACTGATATGCATGAAGATCGATTCACTGGCTCTTGAAAACCGGCCATTTCCGTGGTGAAACTCAACCCCCGTCGCCGTCACAAACATTGAAGTGAAAGAGGTAGTTTTCCACGTGCCACGTGCAACATGTCGCATGCACGTGCTGAAGTCTGCCGTGGATGACACGACGCATGTTTCGCACGTTCACCACGTGCTGGCTGTTACGGCGATATGACGGTTAACACCCACCACCGTGTGAGCAATAATAACGGATGTTCTGCTCAGCGTGAATGATGGATGTTTTGTTTTGAAAAGTGTTTCAGTTTTTTCACGGCATGACGGCGTATTGTGGGATCAAAGCCCAAGGTGATGCTGGACTGAGACATCTACAGCTTTGAAAGGAAAACCTACATGAGCTCGGGTATGGATCATACAGAAGAAGAAACAGTCGGGGCAAGCCAGGATCCAAACCACTAGACTACGTTTCTGGCGTGCCAAAGGGACGCAACTCCAGACAGCGAATGTATTTGAAAGGATCTACCATTTTATAGTTTTGAACCCTAGAATGTTTGTTAGAATCAGCACTTGAAAAATGACACTCATTTCCTCTGAAAGAGGGGCTGTGGGGTAGCCTAGTGGTTAAAGCGTCCGCTCGTCAAGCCGAAGACACGGATTCGAAACCCCACATGGGTACAATGTGTGAAGCCCATTTCAGGTGTCCCCCGCCGTGATATTGCTGGAATATTGCAAAAAGCGGCGTAAAACCAAACTCACTCACTCACTCCTCTGAAAGAACAGGGATGGGACGTTGAAAGTTTTCCCAATTGGTCGATAGCGATCACTGGTTGTCTGGTCATCGATTATCCCACAGACATTCCTGGAATATTGCTCGGCGAAAACCCCACCCATCACTCCTCTGAAAGAACTGGGACGTTGAAAGTTTTGGTATAGCGAGGTTGGGTATCTTCCACTACCACATGATCTGTCTACTGAACCAACAAGGCGGCCAGGGTGTTTTTAATACCGATTACTTGTTGGTTTGTTTGTTGTTTAACGCCGCACTCATTAATATTCCAGCTATATGGCGGCGGTCAGTATATACTCGTTTCTGGAAATGGCAATCCAGTGATTAACATCATGAGCATCGATCTACACAATTGGGAATCGATGACATGTGTCAACCAAGTCAGCGAGCCTGACCACCCGATCCCGTTAGTCGCCTCTTACGACAAGCATACTGAAGAACAAGTATAACCCGGATGTTCACTGGTTCCCAAACGGAGTAGCAGTTTGATAACAACCCGGAAAAAGGAAAATAAATACTCCTCCTATCTTCAGCAATATCTCGCATGCTTCGTGTTCTGTGCTTAGACAAAAAAATAGTCTGTCTTGCAGACGTGAGCGTAATTGTTATCATTAATTGTTTGTGATTCTGTTAGCAGCTGAAAATTGCAAACAGTAAATGTTTTTTAATTATATTGTAATTTTAATTCTAAATGATTAATAATAACTGAACTTATCAACTTACGAAACTGTTGATACTTCCGCTTCAGAAAACACCTCTCAGGTGGCCGATATAGAGTTTCTGACGTGGAATGTTTGGGGGCAAACTATATGGAATCCTTATCAACATAATCTCACTCTCTCTGAAAGGTGATACGAATGATACCATCTTGATTGTCATCATCAGATTTACTAACGCTGCAGTTTGCAGTGGGGGCCCACACTTTATAAAGCCGGCTTTAATCACACGGCATATTGCCCAGGATCCTGTTTCAGCAAGCGATGACATTCTCTCCCCACGCGAGTTATCGCCCTTGCCCATTCGATTGGCGTCGTTTAGCAGTACAACTTGGATGGTCTCTCATTTGGCGCCATCACGCCCCAGCACCGGAATCGTACATACATATTTCATGTTAGTCCCATCTTCTCAACACACGCTTCGAAATAATCATTTTCGACAAAATAGTATTCGCTTTCGGTGATGACCGTTCTTGGGATCAATTGCAGGAGAAAAACGCGCATCTTCGAATGAATATTTAATCAGCGTATTTCCGTGAAAGTTTCTAACGCTGCCGAACAAAGCATGGCGACTTGATGAGCTTCTAGTGGAGGGTGGCAGAAGCATGCAACTAGCGACAGAGTAGCTCATAAAATATTCTTTCTTCCGTCAGATGTTTGGTGACGGACTGTACTAAACAAGGTGTAGCGTTATTCATGCAGTAGGAGCCCCGGCTACCTCGAGAGGGGCGTGTGCGGAGACAGTGTGACATGGCTGTTAGCAACAGATTAGTTTTACTTTATGTTGAAA